ACAACTTTACAATCGATCTGATAAAATTTTATTTTTAGTGAACAATTGTGCCAAAATAAATTTTGATTTTTCTCTGTTATTTTAACAAATATTACAGAAATAATTAATGATTTATGTTCCCAAGCACATTTCTGATAAGGCAGCATATTTTTCGACTGATTTGAGCGATTTAAATTTTACGCAAAAGGAAATGGAGGAGGCGCCAAAGATGCAATAACTTTTTCCTCTGTTATTTCAGCAACTATTACAAAAATAATTACAAATCGTGAAGATTTCGGATAATATGGAGATCTTCTCCGGTCGATTTGGGCATCTTTAATTTTTAGAAAAAAAATGGTGGAGGCGCCGAGAGACACATGCCTTTCTCTTTATTTACTAGCGAACTATTAGAAAAATAATTACAGATTTGCGATCCTGAGAAGATTTCGGATAAAATAGAACTTTTTTGATTGATTTGAACAGGTTTAGTTAAAAAAAAAACGAAATAAAATTGGTTTTTCTCTACTATGTCATAAACTATTAGAAAAATAATTACAAATTCACGATATTTACGAACAATTTGAGCAACTTTTTCTAATAAAGGGTGGAGGCGATAAGATAAATTTGCGTCTCTCTGTTATTTCAATAAAAATATTACAACACTAATTGCAGCATATTTTTGATAAAATAAATATTTCTTTCGATCCATTTCGACAACTTTTGTTCTTGTAAAAAATTGGTGGGGGCGCCTGTCTTTTTCTTGTAATTTCACGGACGAGAACAAAATTAGAGAACATTTCGTATGAAATAGGATTCACGATCGATTGGTGCAATTTTTATTTTTTTTTTTTTCCTTCTAAAAAATGGTGGAGGCGCCGGGATAAATTTGCACTTTGCTACGTTATTTTAACAGTATTCCAAACATAATTTACAAATTCGTAATACTGAGAAGTTTTATGGTGAGCTAGACATCTTTGTCGATCGAGCTATGTAAACTGAATGTTTCTTAACAAAACGGTTGGGGCCTGGATCACAGATTCGTTGTCCTAAAAATGTTTGGGATAAACCAGATATCCTTTCGATCCATTAGAATAATTAGTGTTTCATCTGTAAAAAATGTGGTCGCGGCAACATACATTTGGGTTTTACTTTGATACTTTAACAAGCATTACACCAATAATTTATTATTTGAAAAAAAATGTTGGATGCGACGAGGTTAATTTCTGTTGTTTTCTCTGTTAGATATTTCAAGAAATATTGCAAAAATACATCCTTCATAACCGAATTGAGCAAATTTAATTTTTTTTTAAATGGTAGAATCGCTGAATAAATTTGTGGTTGTCTTTGTTATTTTAATAACTATTACAGCAATCGTAGATTCGTCATCCTAAGATACTTTGAATCGATTTGAGATTTGTTCATAAAAAATAGTAGAAGTGTTTAGATAAATTTAGGTTTTCCTTTAATATGGCAATAAATATTACAAAAATGATTACAGATTTGCGATTCTAAGCAAATCTTTGATAAGAAAAATTGTGGAGGCGCCGGGAAAAAATAGCGTTTTCTCCATTATTTTTTTTCAGGAAAGTGCAATTATTTTTATGTTTTAGAAGCATTGTGTTCTATATTGGTAGTTTTGTACTTCCCATATATTGTATGATATCAATATTGGGAAAACAGTAACGCGACAATAAGCTCTCAGTGATCGAAAAACCGAAAAATTGAAAAACTGAATTATCGAAGAAACAAGAAATTTAAAAATCGAAAAATTAAGAAAAACAGAAATTGAAAACTTTCCAAAACTGATAATGTTCAAAAAATTGAGAAATAGAACACATAAAAAGTCGGGAAATCTAAAAATTGAAAAGTGAAAAAACTTTAAAAATCGAAAAATCTAGATTGCAAATTTAAAAAACATTTAAAAATTAGAATATAAAAGAATTGAACAATCGAGAAATCGAAAAATCTAAAATTTAAAATATTGAAAAATCGAAATATCTAAAATTTGGAAAATCAAAAATTTAAAAATTGAAATACAGAAGAACTGAAAAGTCGAGAAATCATAAAACTTAAATTGAAAAATCTAAAGTTGAAAAAACGAAAAACTGAAAATCCAGAAGTAAACATTCGAGAAATCGAAAAATCCAGGACTCGAAAAATCTAAATGTCGAAATACTAAAAAATCCCAAAACTCAAATATCGAAAAATGGAAAAATAGAAGAAAAATTGAACAATCAAGAAGCGGAGAAATTAAAAATTGAACGAAATATCCAAAAAGTAGGAAGATAAAAAATTGAAAGATTGAGAAATCGAACAGTCAAAAAGCCAAGTCGAAAAACCGCAACTTAAAAAATCCAAAAATAAAAAAACTAAAAAATCGAAAAATTTAAAAACTGAAGAACTGAAAAATTGAATCTTTGGAAAGTCGAGAAATGAGAAAATTAAAAAATAGATTAATTGTCAAAATTTGAAAATCAGAAGTCGAAATTGGAAAATTGAAAAATCGGATAATTGAAAAAGCGGAAAATAATAACCCGAAAAACTGACAAATCAAAGCATCGAAAAATTGAAAAACTGAGACATCGAGATATCGAAAAATTGAAAGATTGAGACAGCAAGGAGTCGAAAAATCGAGAAATCGAAAAGTCGAAAAATTAAGAAACTGAAGTAGGCCAAAATCGAAAAATTGAGAAGTTAAAAATGAAAAAACTGATAAATCGAGAGAATGAACAAAATATCGAAACATCCGCATCTCGATAAATCGAGCCCCAAAAAATTAAAAAATCGAAAATATAAAAATTCGGAAAATTGAAACATTAACATATACAATAACTGAAAACTCGAGAAATCGGAGAATCTAGAATGTTAAAAACTGAAAAATTAAAATATCGGAAAGTTGAAAAATTGAGAAATTGCAATTTAAAACAGTCTAAAAATCTAAAATTTAAAATATTGAACTATTAAAATATTGCAAAATTGAAAAATTGAGAAATCCAGACATCAAAAAATCAAAAAATAAAATTCGACAATCGGAAATTTTAAAATCGAAAAACTGAAGAATCGAGAAATCGAGAAATTGAAAATGCAGTATTAAAAAAAATGAAAATTGAAAAATCGGATAACTGTAAAATCGAAACATCGAAAAATTGGAAAATCGAGAAACTGAAAAGCCAAAAAGTAAAAAATCGAAATCCGAGAAATCCAAAAATCGAACCATCGAAAAATTAAAAAACTGAAACATCGAGAAATTAAATTCGATAAATCGAGAAATCAGAAAATTATAACATCGAAAATTTTAATATTTGCAAAATTGAACAATTGAAATATTCATAGAACAACTGAAAACTCGAGGAATCGAAAACCCTAGACTTTTAAAAATCTAAGTATAAAACAGTCGAAAAATTGAAAAATTTAAAGTTAACGAAAAACTGAAAATCCAAAAAGGAAAAAACCGAGAAATAAAAAGATCCAGGAGGCCAAAAATCAAAAAGTCGAAAAATATTAAAAAATGCCAAAACTGAAAGAAATATCCAAAAAAACTAAGAAATTAAAACTTAAAAAATCGAAAAATTGAATAATCGAAATTTTGGAAAGTCGGCGAATGGGAAAATAAAAAAAAATACTTCAGAAGTAGGAACACTGGAAATTTAGAAACGTCAAAATTTGAAACAAAATTGAAGAGGACAAAAATTGAAAACTCGTATCATTGAAACATCGGAAAATTGAGAAATCCGAAAGTTAAAACACCTTGTGTTGTTTTCGAAAAGAGCGGATTATACTCTATTCTTCCAGTAGCGCCACCAACATTGTCCGCGAGGATTTAAATTTGGTCACAAAATAATTGAAATTGCTTCCAAATTCAATTGCTCTTAATTAAAAAAAATTAAACTGTAATTTCTTCATTAATTTGTTCCACAAATGCGAAACTAAAACGTTTATTTGAGTTGATTTTCTTAAATTTGACACTTGTCCAAATTAGAAAACTCGTTGTCAGTAAAAAAAAAAAACAAAATACTACGGCTATTTTCGCAAGCGACTTTTCGGCAACCAGGGGTGGTCTGGATGACGTGGGAGCAAACTTGAGACAAAAAATGGGGTCGATACGTTCCAGAAAATCTGGGTACCTCGGTGGAGAAAAAAAAATTTCGGACTTGATTTGACCTGACCTGACTTGACCTAAGAATATCATGTCCACGAACATCGGCACCTTGCAATAAATAAACTGAAGTAATAAATTAATTTTGTTGCAACTCTATTGCTAACTATTAATAAAATGACAACAATTGTGAATTGTAACAACTGAACATATTTAATTATAGATTTATTTAGATTAAATATTGAATTACGTTATGCTCGTGTGACGCGTCCATCAAAATAACAATTTGTGATATTATATGACCGATAATTGATATTGAAATATCAACAATCAAGTTCGTGGAAACAAATGTATTAAATGTAAGTGGTTATTTCACCCCGTCATTCACGATTATTTTTTCAATAAGTGTTTAGAGTGAAGCCTTATGGCTCATTGAATGCTTGTATTTACGTAAAATGATTTGTGTATCTTGCTTTTTTGTTACTTGGAATTCTTGATACGGATTTATCGACACACTTATTACTTCCCTGGCAATTCTTTCCTACTAGATCTAAGTCCACGATGCGATAACGCGAAAACCAGTCATCTAAAAAGAGGTCATACTTAAAAGCTCATTTCTCGTTCTACTTGCCCCGAAAATAGAAACAAAAATCCAATACCCACGACCAAATAAAATCTTATCTCATCCCTCAAAGTTTTAAAATAAAGGGTGCAGCGGTCCGATCACGATCGTTTCGAGATATGTTACTCTAGCCGTTTTTTCTCCAGGAGTATTTGCCTTTGTCGGCTTTAGACTATATATCTTGTCGGAGAGACATCCGCCTCGCCGAGGAGCTCCAAGCATCACCATTGATGTTCTCAAAGCAATGTCTTGGTGATTTATTTTTCTAAAATTAAATAAAAACCCTTTGGATTTTAATTCCAGTTTCGCCGGATATTCTGGATTTTCCGACAAGCGCGGACATCGTGGTGGATGAAGGGGCCGACGTGTCCCTGCGATGCGTAGCCAGAGGCTCTCCGGAACCGTCAATTTTATGGAAACGGGAAGACGGACAACTGATACCATCGCGAATGAAAATGGAAGGTGCGTAGAGTTTTTGTTTGAAATTGGTGTACTTTAATCGGCGAGTTGCCCATTTTTTTTCATATTAGCGGTTAGCGCCAGCGGACCCACACTTAATATATCGAAAATTAAAAGGGAACATATGGGACCCTACCTCTGCATTGCTTCCAACGGAGTCCCTCCCTCGGTCAGCAAGAGGATTATGGTTATAGTACAGTGTGAGTAGTAGGGTTAATGTGGGTGTGAGTGTTATTGAGTCATTCCGTATGAAATCTCGCAGTAAATTTTGTTAGAAAGTCGATTCAAAGAGGAGCAACTGGTAACTGGTAAAAGTACACCTCCGCTTTTTTGCAGTAAAAATTTAGCAATGAAGCCGTAATCGATGTGGTGGTGGGTGGGAGTGTGCAAACAAGATTAAATTTAATTTAGCATCAATGTAACAAAATCTCCAATTAACCACCTTCACCATTTGTATTTGTTAACAACTGACTAAAAATAACAACAATCATTTGACATTGCAAACTTTTTTTCCAAAGTTCTTACCGTTATAGATTTTCGCGACTTCATAAATCAGGCTAACCATTAAAGTTTTCTAATTGACAGGAAGAACACGAACTTCTCTCTTTAGCTTTGTGTAACTTCCGAAATTTAATTTGGTGAATTATGTTTTACTCTTCAAACTTAACAACAACGTTATAATTAACGGTAGCGCTTTTGCAACAAACTTGTTACATTTTTTATAACTACGATTTACATTTGCGTGTAATTACGGTAATTAACAATCGTCGGATATAACCCATTGGTATAATTTTATCACGAGTTCCGCGTAGCAACCCGTAAAAACATTCAAAGCGTTTTAACGTCGAGATCATGTACTGGAATATTTTCAGAGTCAACGGCTTTATGAAACGATTAAAAATCCTGACAAAATGAATAAAATATTTTAATAAAATCCAACTAAAATCACTTAATCTCAAATTTTAAATGGTTCAGTGGGTAATGAAGTTACAAACTAAATAAATTTTATAATCTGCATTATTAGTGGATGCGGCTATTCCTTAGGCACAATTAATTAAAAGTTTCTAGTTTCAACACAAATTTGTGAACAAATAGTGTCAAGTTTTAAAAGTTTGTTTAGTTTTCAAGAAACAATGCAATAGAGAAACGTTTCGGTTTAAATCCTCTTAGAATTTCAATTTAAGGAGTGTAACAAATTCGTAATAAGTGATTTTCAGTCTGAACTTTCATTCGGTTCTTTGTAAAATTTTCAAAAAAACAAAAATAATGGCATTTCAATAAATCTTTTTTCAAATTGTTTAAAAAACCATACAGAAGTCGTTGAAGATCCTTTCACGCTCTTTAAAAAACACACTAGGGAACCCTAAGATCGTTTAAATTCTTTTAACGACAAAACACCAGGAGTCCACTAATTTTTTTTCAGAAACATAACAAAATAAAAGCGGCTCGAATTTTTTTTTCAGATTCTTAAAAACAAGACACTACATGCCCTACACATTTTTCAGATTTTTTTTCAAAAATCAAATATCTGGAAACTTTTGAACTTTTTTCTAAAATACAACACTCGGGGCTTCCCCGATTCTTTCAAGAAGAAAACACAAGGCGCCCACAAAAATTTGTTCAAAGTCTTCCAGAATCAAAGGCCCCAAAAATCCCTACAGGTTCTTAAAAAGAAGACCCTACAAATCCCCAAGATTTTTTTAGTGTCTTTCAAAAATAAAAAAATTCTTTCGCAATAAAAAAACTAGGGGACTACAAGATACTTTGAAGATTTTTCTAAAATAAAATAACAGGCATCCCCCAGATTTAAAAAAAAAATTTAAACAAAACTCCAGGGCTCCACAGTTTCTTTCACAATCTTAAGAATAAAAGTTAGGAGACTCCAACATTTTTTAAAAATTTTTCAACAATAAAATACTAGGTGTCTCGGAAACTCGTAAAATTTTTCTAAAATAAACCACCTGAGATACCTAAGGTTCTGCTACATCCTTAAAAAAATAGGCTATCACTTAAAAGAAAAAGGCTGGGAGCACCAAAATACTTTTAAGGTATTTAAAAAAAATAATAGTAACAGGAATTCAGGAGATACCTTCAAAAATTTTATAAAATCAAACATCAGAGGCCCACACATTCATTCACATTTTTCAAAAAGCTGCAGAACCTCAAGATTTTTTCAAGATTTTTCAAAAATAAGTTACGAGTGGTCCCCGAAATTTTTTGAATTTATTTTTTCAACATTTTACATTCTTAAAAAAAAATTCCATGGACCCTAAGAATCTTAAAAATTTTTCTGAAACAAAAATACCAGGGATTCCAAGATTCTTACACATACTGAAAAAATGAGAGTCTAATGATCCCAAGATAGCTCCAAGGCTTTTCAAAAATAAAAGATTAAATATAACCAAGATTTTTTCAAAAACAATTGTTTTAAAAAAGTACACATTCTTAAACTAGATTAGAAGACCCCAAATTTGATTCACAAATTTTCAGTAATATAATAATAGAGGTCCTCAATTTTTTTCAAAAATGTTCTAAGTCAAAATACCAGGGGTTCCCAGATTCTTTCACATTCTGAAAAAAAGCTATTCTTTCAAGATTTCTCAAAAATGAAATACCTGGAAATTGGTTCAAAATGTTTCTAAAATAATACTAGGATATCTCTAAATTGTCTAAACATTTTTCTAAAAAAAAAACTCCCAGAAGTCTCCAAAATTCTTTCACAATAAAAAACCTCAAGGACTACAAGGTAATTTGAAGATTTTCCTAAAATAAAATAATAGGAATCCCCTAGATTAAAAAAAAATCTAATACAAAACAGGAGGGCTCCAGAGTTTCTTTCAAATTCTTAAGAATAATAACAGGAAGTCAGGAGATAGCTTCAAAAATTTTATAAAATCAAACATCAGGCGCCCACAGATTCCCTCACATTTTCTATAAAAAGGAGGCTACCGAAGCTCAAGATTTTTTCAAAATTTTCCAAAAATAAAATATTAGTGGCCCTGAAATTTTTTATTTTTTTTTTACAAGATGTTAAGGATCGTCGAAGTTTATTCACATACTTAAAAAAAAGGTTCTTTAGACACTAAAAACCTTTCAAAATTTCTCGGAAACAAAATATCAGGAATTCCAAAATTCTTCCATCACTGAAAAAAAAAAATACAAGGTGTCCCTAAAATTCTGTCTTAATTGGAGGCCCCTGAGATTTTTTCGTATTAAAGAAAAGACACTCGGGGACCATAAGATTCTTTAAAAATTTTTCAAAAATAAAACACTAAATGTTACCAAATTCTTTTAAAAATTTTGTAAAACAAAGCACGAGAAACTCTTAAGACACTTTCACATTCTTAAACTAGACTAGACCATAAGTTTGGTTCAAGATTTTTCAAAAATATAATAACAGAGGTTCCAAAAATTTTTTTAAAACTTTTCTAAAACAAATTCAAGGGGGTCCCAGATTCTTTCACATTTTGAAAAAAAGAAAGTTATTCTTGAAATATTTTGCAAAAATAAAATACTAAAAATTCTGGAAATTCTTCCAAAATGTTTCTAAAAAAATTCAAGTGTTCCTCGAGATTTTTTCAAAATTTTTCAAAAATTAAATTCCCTGTGTTCCCGAGACGCTTTCAAAAGTTTCTAAAAAAACAATCTAAAGGCCCAAGACTCTATCAATATTTTTCAAAAATTAGATATTAGAAGTTCTCTAGAATTTTTAATCATCTAAAAAAAACCTGTGAGATTCCAAAATTTTTAGAGGTTTTTCAAAAATAAAATACTAAGTATTCTGGAAATTCTTCCAAAATGTTTCTGAAAAAATACCAGGGTTCCTCAGGATTCTTTCAAAATTTTTCAAAAATTAAATTCTCAGTGTTCTCGAAACGCTTTCAAAAGTTGCTTAAAAAACACTCTAGAGGCCCAAGATTCTATCAATATTTTTCAAAAACAAAATATTAGGGGTTCTCAAGATTTTTAATATGCTTAAAAAACCTGTGAGGCTCCAAAACTTTTTAAAGATTTTTCCAAAATAAAATACTAAGAATTCTGGAAAGGACACTCCAGAGGCAATATTCTAAAAAAAAAACTGTGAAACTCCAAAACTTTTTAAAGATTGTTCAAAAATAAAATGCTAGGGACCCCCGAGACATAAAACGCTAGGAAACTTCATGGTTTTTCACGTACTTTAAAAAAAAGGAACTAGATTCTTTCAGAAATTTTCAAATAATTAATAGGGTTTAACGAAATTCCTTGAAAATCTTTCTAAAACAAAAAACCAAGGACACTGACCAATTTTTCGCCTTCGTAAAAAAACTAGGGATCTCAATATTCTTTGAATATTATTAAAAAATAAAATACTAGCTATCCCTCAGATTCTTTCAATTTTTTTCTAAAACAAAACATCAGAAATTCTTCAAGGATTTTTCAAAATTAAAATACCATTGATCTTGGAAATTCTTTCCAATTTTTTCTAAAAGAGAAAAACAACTTCGGGGCCTGTAAAAATCTTTGGAAATTTTTCGAAAATAAAATGCTAGATACTGCCGAGATTCTTTCAAACTGTTTCTAAAAAAACATCGGTGCCCCCAAAATTCTATCAAAAATTTTCAAAAATAAAGGTTATTTTAAAATTTTTCTAAAACTAAACAGCAGGTTTTGTGAAGTTTTAATTTTCAGAAAAAAAAGAAACTGAGACTCGAAAAGTTTATCAACATTTTTCAAAAATAAAAGAGTCTCAGAGATGGTTTAAAATATTTTCTGAATCAAAAGACCAGGTCTCTTCAAAGATCTTCCACATTCTTAAAAAAACAGGACCGTTAATCGTCTTATACAAAGAAAAGTAAATGTATTAATTAAAAAAGAAAACCACCAGACAAGCCCCACCCATTCGTCTCGATCTCAATCGTGATGAATTTTTCATTCATTGTCACACCGAGGGGCGGAGCGTAATTGCAAAATCGATATTTCCCTATAGAAATTTACCATTTTAACATTGTTTAAGTTTTTTATTGTGAAAAGATGGCTAGGTATATTAAGAAAACAAAAGAAAAAATATAAGCCCCACCCACCCGCCCTATCCCTATGCTGATGATCTCTTTTATTCGTCGTAAGCCAAAGGGCGGAGCTTAATTATAAAATCCTTATTTTTCTATGCGAAACTACCATGTGAAATCTGTTCTTAAGCAATCGTGTTATACAAAGAAAAGTAAATGTACTAATTAAAAAAGAAAACCAAAAGAGAAGCCCCACCCATTCGTCTCGATCTCAATCGTGATGAATTTTTCATTCGTTGTCACACCGAGGGGCGGAGCGTAATTGCAAAATCGATATTTCCCTATAGAAACTTACCATTTTAATATTGTTTAAGTTTTTTATTCTGAAAAGATGGCTAGGTATATTAAGAAAACAAAAGACAAACTATAAGCCCCACCCACCCGCCCTATTCCAATTCTGATGATCTCTTTTATTCGTCGTAAGCCGAGAGGCGGAGCTTAATTGCAAACTCCTTAATTCTTTACAAGAAATAAAAAACGTCTTTTTGAGTGTCGTGTTATTCAAAGAATACTATGTATATTAAGAAAAAATTAAAGCCAAATATTAAGCTCCACCCATCCCTGCCCTGATCTAAATAGTAATGAAATTTTCATTTGATCTAGGGGCGGAGCCTAATTGCAAAATACATATTTCCTTAAAAAGTTTACCATTTTAAACGTGTTTTGAGTTTATAAGAATAAAAAAAGTCATTACAATTGAGATCGGGTGGGTGGGCGGGGTTAATTTTTTTTTTTTCTTAATATACATAGTATTCTTTGAACAACACGATACTCAAAATCATGTTTTTCATTTCTTGCAAAAAAAATAAATATTGTGCAGTTAAGCTTCGTCCCCTTGATTTACGGCGAATAAAAATGTCATCACAATTGAGATAGGGCGGGTGGGAGGGCTTATATTTTCCCTTCTTGTTTTAATATGTATAAATATATATTTCGTAACATGAAATTTAAAACATCTTTAAAAAGGAAAATTTGTATAAAGAAATACCTTTTGTACAATTAGGCTTTGTCCCATATTTACAAAATCCATGTTTCCCTGTAAAAATGTACTATTTTAACCATGTTTTAAGTTTCTTGTTGCGAAAAGATGGCTAGGTATATTAAGAAAACAAAAGACGAAATACAAGCCCCACCCACCCGCCCAATCCCAATGATCCCTTTTATTCGTCGTAAGCCGAGGGGAGGAGCTTAATTGCAAACTCCTTATTTCGCTACAAGAAATAAAAAACGTGTTTTTGAGTATCGTGTTGTTCAAGAATACCATGTATATTAAGAAAAAATTAAAGCCAAAGATTAAGCCCCACCCATACTTGCCCAGATCTAAATATGTAGTAATGAAGTTTTCATTCGTTGCTAGATATAGGGGCGGAGACTAATTGCAAAATCCATATTTCCCTACAAAAATTTACCATTTGAAACGTGTTTTAAGTTACTATGAATAAAAAAAATCATCACAATTGAGATAGGGTGGGTGGGCGGGGTTTATATTTAGCGTTTTTTTTACGATTTTTCAAAAATAAAATAATGGAGATCCCCGATACTCTTTCAAGGATTTTTTAATACAAAACACCAACAAGCGTCACGATTATTTTATATTTTTTAAAAAAGAAGCCACGGGACCTGAAGATTTGTTCAAGGATATTAAAAAATATGATACTAGTGGTCCCCGAATTTTTTTCAAAATTTTTCTAAAACAAAACATCAGAGATCCCAAGATTCTTTCACATCCTAGGGATTCCAGGATTCTTTCAAAATTTTTCAAAAATAGAATACTTGTTGTTCCGGGTTTTTTAATATTTTTCCCCAAAACAAAGGACAAGGAACAATGAGATTATTTTATATTATTAAAACAAAAACGCTATGAGACTAAAAGAAATATATTTAGACAAGACTTCCATTGTTCCTTAAGGTAAACAACGCAATTCAACCAAAGTATTCATCAAACTTGAGTAATTTTGTGGTTTTTATTTTTCACTTAACGCCTACATTATCTGTCTAATAAAATTGACCACAGACGACAGACCAGGCGGAAACGGAAGTACTGCTTTTTCATGCCCTAGAAGTTATAAATGTCAAGAAAACATGAAATTAGTCTTATTAAAAGTACGATGATGTCACCGTATTATCTATCACTTGTCAGAAGTTGCAGTAATAATAAATTACTAATGTGTTTTAATAATATCCGTAATATCAGACAAATTAAATAAAATTAAATGCAAATTGAACCTGTTGATTACAGTTTCGCTGCACCGTCCTATCGATTCGATCGGCTTTTTATATTGAATGACACATAATGCATGTGTGACGTGTGATGACACTCTTTGTTGTATTCCGTGTCAATCCTGTAACACGTAATTCATGATAATTATATTCGGCTATCGATGAGCTAAACACTACATAAAACGCATAATTCCCCACCTGACTCGATTAGATTGTACATATTTTAGAATCGCGTTAATTTATAACGAGGTGTACCGATTTGAACGACAATATCAAATTCTATATACTATTATAATTTATAAGCATTTTTAGAAGTTGCACAAGTCGAATCGAAGCAGGTAAAATAAATGTTTCAGTCTTTTTAACAAGTTTCCTATTCCCGTCGTTTACGAATTCAGTTTGATGTCTTTGGTTTAATTATAACCTTAAAAGTTAATAAGACGTGCATATTTAATGCCTCGCAGTTAGCAACATTGTCAACTATTTTATGCGGCGAGAAAAGTTTCGGGATCAATAACTGTTAACTTGAGTTGGAAGTAGGAGTATTGTTATTAAAATTCTGTTTGTGACAGTTCCACCCTCCGTGTGGATTCGGTACCAGTTAGTGGGAGCATACGACGACCAGCAGATCACCCTCGAATGCCATTCCGAGGCATATCCGAAATCCATCAACTACTGGACTAGAGATAAAGGAGACATCATTCCTCACAGTGGGTTCCTAAATGCTGGAATAGTAACTCTCGTTAATCCGTCGGTCTTCAGTTCGTTAAACCAACAGCTAGTCGTTGTTAATGATCAAGAACAGGGGTAATAATAATAACTTGTTTCGTTCGAACCTCTCGGGAAACTGAGAAAATTAGTGGCAACAATCGACCAACATCGATGTATTTTCGATACGAGATTTGTGGTGACGAAGACGATTAAAACAGTTCTAAACAATTTTTTAAGAGTGGTTCCAGTCGGATTAATGGGAGTCTACTCTAGCTGAAAATCTCAATTTCGGTAATTTAATTTCGTTTTCATGGACGATTTTTTCAGGCGCAAAATACGTGCCGGAGATCATCGACAGCGGTTACACAGTGCACATGAAGCTGACCATCAACCATCTGGGAGAACAAGACTACGGGATCTACAAATGCATATCAAAAAATTCCCTGGGTGATACGGATGGAACAATAAACATTTATAGTGAGTTTTCGATTTTTATAGATTCCTGGGGTGAAATGTGTGTTTTCAGGAATTTCTAATTCCACCCTGAAGAACAGTTCGATCTATTTCAAAAGCAAAGGTATAAAGAGTATTTACGTTTTTCTAAACTATTTCGAGAACGTATTCTTTCAGGTCCGAGAAAAGAGGCGAACGATGTAACTTATCAAATAGGTTCCACTGAGAAAGGTAACAATGGATTAAATATTTTAGTCGTCCGGAAAGTTTATTTCATTTTATTATGTTCCAGACCGCGCCGACTTGCTATTTCTTGAAGATGAATTTTACAGTTGTGCTCATCAACTTGGCGTCTCGCAAATGCTTACGATTCTGTGGTTACGTGTGCTTCTATATTGCATAACATTCGTTTAATGTGGTGTATCCCGATAAGAAAACTGTAGAATGATGATGAAATGTAAGTAGACTTGAATATTACCAACAAACGTTAACATTAACCCGCTGAAAATTTTATCATGTAAGGGACTTAGAAGTAAGGGCTATTTTTGTACGCTTATTTTAGCATAGGTGGTAATAAAACTTTTATAACAACACGTTTTTAAACTTCAACCCTACCTTACCGTACCCAAAACAAATACATTTTTAACTATCAGATTGGATTATCTTTTTAACGAAACTAAGTGCTAACTTCCCCACGACTCAGACCTTCGCAGGGCTAATCTAATTCGGCTCTTTATCTCTGCTGTTTGTGCCACCAGATCAATACTTTTTACGACTTACTACCTACTATACCGTAAATCTAACCATGAATAAACAGGTACGTATGTTGTAATTAAACGAAAGCAGCAAAAAAGTAAATTTTTGTATTTATGTGTTATGATAAAAAAAATAAACCACAGGATGGTGAATGCCGTTATAGACGTAATATCTACTTAAAAATAGATAAGCAATTTATTTTTTGTAGTCGTTTCTGTAGAGATGAAGTTAAATATGTATTTTCAGTAAACGCCAGCTGACCTCATGCACCAACTGTTTGAATAACTAATGTAATTTCAAACATCATAAAGATTTAACGATTTTTTTTGTTTGTTAATATATCGACTTCCAGTTGCTTTCACGTTCACTGCTGTACCTATAACGTTTATTAATATGTACATTTACTTCACTTTTTTTTTAAAGCATAAGTGATAACGTTATTTTAACGAATTGTCATTTACAAGTTCATAACACACCAGCACGAAAATTACCAGTTTACGGTTTCTATTTCGAATTTTAAGAACACATTATTGATACCTATTCAATGGAAGAAAAGCGTAAAAAAAAACAAATCTGGAATATTTTTAAAATATCCAGTTTGAAAATATGGTTTCAGAAGTCTTGGGCAAAAAATGTAAACATTGTTGTCTCGTGCAAGATAATTCTATTATAAAAGTTTATTTATCAAGTTGGCTTTGAAATTCCGTGAATTTTACCGCCTCACTGTCATGATTGATGACTACTAGGTCGCCTGTTAAAAATGCTAGTCATACCGTAACTCACAATATGTTTGCTGCCTGATAGGTTGGCAACCAATAATTCAACTTGAATGATAGATTTACTACTTATCTCAAGGAAAGGACTTTTATGCAGGAATAAAGCACAACAAAAGATTTTATGCGCAATATTAATATTGAAGTGATTTAGAAAAGCTGTTTATTGCTTAAACTAACTTATTTTCAAAGCATTTTGGCATGTGCACGCTGTTTCAAAAAAAATAATCATAATAATAAAAATTATATTTATTTACAAGCAATGCATTTTTCGTAGTCTTAATATATTATAATAATATTAATGGTTCTATTCTATAAACACTTACCGGTACATATATGATATATGCTGACAATTTGACGAAATAAAATTGCTCTAAAGTTGCTAAAATAAGACTGATTTTGGCAATTCACATACCATCTGACAAAGTAAAGGGTGGGTGGGCGGGGCTAGTACTTGCTAAGTTAAGACTGATTTTGGCAATTCACATATCATCTGATAAAGTAAAGGGTGGGTGGGCGGGGCTAGTACTTGCTAAGGTAAGACTGATTTTACCATATGACATACCCTTTGAAATGGAAGGGCAGGTGGACGGGGTTAGTAGCTACGAATATGAGACAGATTTTGGCAAGTGAACCCTCTAAAAGACATGATACTCCACCAATTTTTCAAAATAGATTTTTTCGGAATAATTTTGAATAAAACAAACTAAGTAGCCTCATTATTTAAAAAAAAAATTAAGAATGCGAGCGCAGCGAGCACCTTTAAGTGTTACTAAAAGCTACTCGACAGGGTTCCTGAGAAGCTAAATTATTAATAAGATATTTTATTGCCTACATAAGGTGAATCCTTAAAATGCTTGTGATTATTTACTAAAATTGAGGGATTCTAGCAATTTAAACATGCTCGCTGCGCTCGTATTCTGGTGTGCTTTTTTTTAAAGTGTAGAGATTTATTCCTATAGTAGAGTCTAAGCAACTTCGCTCAGGTTGTTTCCTACACACTGTGAAAATAAAACTGAAAAGAAGTTTAGTGAGCGCAGCGAGCACGTTGAAGCATAATGTAAAAAAAATGGCCGCAAGTTGCTTCGACAGAACTTCCCTTGCTCCTGAAGTACAATGAAGCATATCCAGCATTTTATACGTATATCAACTTGGATTGGTGCAATGTTTAAAGAAATCTAAAAAATATGAATGCAATGAGAAATCACAAGTAAAAACTCATATTTTGAACATTTTGGATAGAATTTATTCGGCAAAATTTTGATATGACGTCATCAATTTTTTGGGGAGAATGAACAGACAGATTTTGACTAACAATTTACCATGCCTACAATAACTTTAAAACGTCTGTTAAATTTCAAAGTATATAGTTTTGCATTTCTTGATTTATTGATTATATTCATTGATTTTTTTGAGTGACCCTGTATAAGCAAATCTAAAAACTGACGTTCTTAATTTGATCAATAAAAAATTGGTCGAAGGCTATTAGTATAATCCGACAAATCCATCTGTTTAAAAAAATTATAAAATTTGATTTTACGATGCAAAGTAAAAACCAGAGGCATAAATAACACTCCTTGTCCTTCAGCAGGACATAATAGCAATCTGAAGCTCAAGTGTATGTTTATACATCGAAAGAATGTTACGTAGAAATATTATATAAAGGCGTGCGTCGAGAAAATGGGATTACTCGTTCTTAATTTGACAAATAAGAAAAAATTGCGATGACATAATCCACCACAGGTCCCCATTATCTCCAATACACCCCTGCGCCACGGAGACATACAAACTGTGTCCGGAATAAAACGTTATTATACCTTGCAAATATTTTTGCGAAAATTTGAAAGTTTAGCGAAAAAACTGAAAGTAGATTCCTACACTACAAGAATATGAGTATATTTTTGTGTAACATTCAAATCATTTTAGAATACCATTCATTGAAATAACATCATCAAATTGTTGGTGGGGATGATTAGAAAAATTTGGTTAGCATTGAACCATATAGATGATATTTCTGGTATAAATACAAAATTTGACAACAATCGGTTCAGCAGTTTCGGAGATTACGTGTCTAATAAAAATGGATGCAGACAGACACAAAACATAAAAGTGACAATTCGTCCAATGGACTCGATTACAATACTTCCTTCGCTTACGCTCGCGAAGTAAAAATATTTATTGACGTCTCGGAGAAACTAAATTACTAAGAACGATTTTGTTATTAATTAAAAACGTGAGTTTAAAGGTTGTTTGTGGTCGTTAGTGTCTGTGGGACTAATATTTTCAGAAATTGCTCGCTACGCTCGCATCTTAAAGCTTCGTTTTTTTCAGAGTAATTTGTTTTCATATGGAGATTTCGAAAATAATTATAATGAAAAGTAAGTAACCAAACTGAGCGTTCATTTGTACATGTTTTTATAACATTAAATTATTTAAAAAAGGACATTCAGAATGCGAGTGCAGCGAGCACATTTAGACGTTATTCATGACTATTGGTCGGTGTCCCTGAGAAGCAAAATTAGTATTAATAAGAGATTTTCTGTATGTCTAAAAAAAGTGAATCTTGAAATATTTATGAATACTAAAGCCGGAAAGACCACAACAGCCCGGAACTTGCTCGCTGCGCTCGCATTCTAAGAATTTTTTTTTTTTAAGTATGAAATAAGTTTAGAGATTTGCTATTACAACAAAACCTAGGTACAATAATTACTCATATTAAAGACGTGTTTTTACCTTTACTTGGAAGCAAAATAAACTTTCACCACAAAATTCATTTTAATATGAGTACCTATTACATTTTTATGTAAAGATATATCCTATGCGTAAATTTGAAATGAGTTTTCCCATAGCAAAATTTTGCGATGGCGTCACCAATTTTTTAGCAGGGGTACATAAATCAATTTGAATGGGTGCAGAGTCATTTTCATTACAACAATACTATAAACTCAAACTTTCGGGAACATGGTGTGCCATTCATTATTTGATCAATAATAATAGGTTGTCACATTCATTAATTCATCTTATCTTATACCGGGTGATTAAAAAAAATGTAAAAAATATTAATGCACTCAGAAACTACAAAGATAAATTCATAAGATGTATTTTGCATATTTTAGATACGATTTATTTGGCAAAAATTTTGAGATGACGTAATTCATTTTTTGGAAGGGGATAAATGGATAAATTTTGATTAACGATCTATCGTATTTATAATAATGTTAAAACGTTTGCAAGATTTGAGAACATTCGGTTTTCCAGTTTCAAAGTCAAATTGCAAAATCTTGGAGGTCTAGGGTAAAAACTCGTAACGGGCTCATAAATAACAAGCGCAGGAGTACCTTATTCAATAAAATTTAAACAAGATTTACTATTGTAAATTTTGGCGTTTAGACAAATTTTGGTTTTTATTTTACCATCTAGAAAATATTATATATACCTATATACACATATAAAATCTGACAACAATCGGTCCAGTAGATTTCGAAGATTATTTGTCTAATACAAATGGACAGACAGAAGGAAATGTACTCTAGGGTTCATAAAACGTCGAGAAAATATTAAAGTAACCAGTCACCAGAAGAGCTCCATTATTGTGATTACTTAACTCACGCTGGTAAGGTAAAAATACAGTCTAAGAAACCTTATAGGTTAAAAAAATACAAATATTACCGATCATACATTTAGTACAAGTCAAAGTCTAAGAAAAAAAAAAAATAAAATAATCGAACCTATGATCTTCCTGTTGCCACTCTAACTTATTACAACATAAAATTTTTTACCTAATTTAACGCATATAAAATTTGACAACAATGATAATAGATAGCTTCGGAGATTTTCTCTCAATAAAAATCGTCAGGGACAGACGACAGACAGACAAACGGAAAAGGAAGCTCTACTTTTTTGTACCGTCAAGAAAACATGAAAGTAGCCATTCGTCCTGTGCAGCCTATTAGAAGACTTCCTTAGCTTACGCCTGGAATTTCGCAATTCGTCTCGTGTTTTTAGACAGAACTCCCCCAAATCAAACAAATCCAGT